GAAAAATCGGTAAAAACCAAAAAGTTAAGAATTAAAAAACCTACTCAACCGTCTTGACACTTACGAATCAAAACGAGAATGAGAAAAGAGGTATGTTCAGTACATATTGCCTTACTAATAGTAAGGGAAAGGTATCAGATACCTTCTAATCAACATAAAGTTGATCTGTCGGTTTTAGATCACCAACAATTGGTTTTAGATCACCAATCATGATAAAAAACATCAATAAATGATGTCAAATATCAAATAATAATACAAAGATAAAAAGATGATAACAATCATCTTTCAATAATACAAATAGAGTGAAATCTTTCAATCAATTGAGAAAATATTTGGGGATTGATTAAAAAATCACATTCCAAAGTATTAAGGACAAAGGTTAGAACCTTTGATTTGAATAAACTAATAATAATAGAGGGTGGGCAAGGGTGGGACCATAGTATGACAATTTTTTTGAGCATACTTTCTATTATTAGTTTATTCAATTGTTGTTTTCAAGAAACACTACTTTATCTCAGTAAACTTCGATAAGAACATGTTTCTTAAAAGAAAACCAACAATAAATAAACTAATGGATATTGTCCCGAGAAAGGAGAGTAGTAGACAAGTGGCGAGCTGCAAGAGCTTCTTGTCTTTGATAAGGTTGTAAAGATTTCACATCCTTATGTCTAGTCCCCATAATAATATCCTGAGTAGGAATTCCCTTGATAATACTCTCAGTAGTTGCACCAATACGTAAACTGTGACCAGAAACAGTGATTTCTGAATCAACAGAGAACATAGCATTCTTGATAAGTTGAGAAACATCTTCAGTGTTGAAGAAAATATTGTCCTGCAATGAAAACAATGGTGAATCTGCTTTTTTGAAATGCTGTACAGTGTTCATGTAATCAAAAAGCAATTTCACTGGACACACTGAAGGATTTTCAAGATGCTTGTCAATAGTAATCGGCTTTTCTAGTAGAAAGAAATCTGTTTTGTGACCACTGAGATCTAATTTGATGTTACCATTTCTAAGCTTTGTAACATAACCCCACTTGAGTCTAGCTAATTCACCTGGTCTAGCGAAAAGTCTGAAACCAATGACTAACATGGCACTAGTGAGTTTGAAAATGAAAGGATCATAATGATCTTTTCTCTGAATGAAACCTTCAATATGATGATAGAAAATTGGATCACGTTTCAAAGCTTTTCTATCAATCAAGGACCAAATAAGAGTAATTCCTCTTTTAATCTTATCATAAGACCATGAAATTGGAAAAACTCTTCTCTCAATATTGGCCCAAAATTGAAGGGATGGTCTCAAGGCTTCAACACGAGATGTTTGACCTT